TTCCTCTTCATTTATTTATTTACACAAGGTTTCACTATGTAGCCCTGGCTGGCCTAGAACTATAGACCAGGCTATCCTTGAAGAGATCATTCTATCTCTGGGATTAAAGACATTCCTCCATAACACTAAACCTGTCCTCCACATCATAAAGTGACACTCAAGACAGGGATGGTAGGGTCTTGGTGAAGAAGCTAGGGACGGGCACTGAGGTGGCGCAGAGGTAAAAGTGTGCACATAGGGGAAGTGACTGAGTGTGAGGCCCAGGTCCCACAGCGGAAGAGAATGGATTCCAACAGCGGTCCTCCATACACTCAAGGTGTCCAGATGGACACAACGCGCCTGCCGTCTCGCTCTCTTCTCACAATAATAACAGCAATGGTATGCCCAAATCTCCAAAGTCCCCACAAAAGCCAACAAGGAGATTGAGTCCCATATGTAAAAGCAATGAGCCTTTATTTTATACAAGTTTGCAAACTCGGTCTCTCTGCATGTCTAACATATTGGAATAGACGGAGAGCCCTGAGATCAGTTAGAACTGGGTTTTTATAGTAGTAAAGGTGGGGGTGAGGGGTTTAGGTTTAGGACCCCTGATTGGCTGACATTTGTCTAGGGGTGTCCTGGTGACTGTATGCTGGCAGGTGATCCTATCTACAGCGGTTGAAATGCTAGGCATTTCCTTTGAATGGGCTGTTCTTGGATGGTGCTCAGGTAATCTCAAGTGTGGTTCTTCCTGCAGCCAGGTATTGCTTTAGGGTAAACAACTGAGACTCAGGCCTCCATTTAAATTTATCAATGGCTGAGTCCTACTCTGGCAGGTGATAATGGTTGGAAATAAAGAACTTCCTTTGGGTGACCTGCCCCTGTTTAGCTTATCATGGCTGGCTCCCACATTTCCCCCTTCACAAGCACCGATGACAGGACCCAATTTTGGGTCCTGCTTGCCCCTGGTTTTAAGAAGGCATGGAACTACTTAAATTGATAAATCTATTAATTGACAACTCTGGACCTAGTATATCAACAGGCACTATAGGTGGTTATCTTGTCCCCCATGCCAGGGAGTTCCCCTTGTCTCAGCCTTTTAACCTATTTTGGGCAGGGGGCATGGGACAACATGTTCCTTTCTACAACTACTTCAAGCTGATATTGGGACATTGTTATCAGGGCCCAAGCAGGTAGAAAGGCTAGCCAAAAGTGTGTGGGGGGGGGACATTTAGGCAATGGGGCCCTCATCAGACTTTGTTGAAGGGACAGGGAGCGTTCATGTTCAAATCAGCTGGACTGGTCCACATCAGCTTTCAGGAAGTCCAGGGCTCACCACCATTCAGAGCAGGTTGTAGTCAGCAACTGATGCTTAGATGTATCTGCCAGCCATGTGGAAGCCTATTGAGATAAGTTTAAACTAGGAACAGAAGTTAAAATTTAGAAAAAGAGCAGATAACAGATGTCTGTAAACAGGAAGAATAGACTCACACCTTTGAGTCCTAGCTAACAAGTTGGCTATAGCTTTGTGGAAGAATCTGGATACCTTTTGCTATTAAACTGACATTATAACGGCCCCAGCCATTAATAGTATCAGAGATCTCAGAATGAGAATTTGAGTGTTTAAAACATTTATCCTTCTTAGTCTTTCCTCAGAAAATGAAAAAATATTTTTGTTTTATTATGTTTTTTTGAGATAGGGTTTCTCTGTGTAACAGCCCTAGCTAGAAATAGCTCTTGTAGACCAGGCCGGCCTCGAACTCACAGAGATCCACTGCCTCTACCTCCTGAGTGCCAGGTTTAAAGATGTGCACCACCACTGCCCAGTTGTTTTTTGCTTTTCTTTTTGTTTTTAAGACAAGGGTCTCACTGTGTAGTCCTGGCTGTCCTGGAATTCACAGGGATCTACCTGCCTCCACCTCCCAAATGCTCAGATTGCAGGCATGTACCATGATATTTAGCCGCAGGTTTTTTTTTTTTTTTTTTCAAGACAGGGTCTCACTATGTAGCTCCTGGAACTCACTCTGTAGAGCAGGCTGGCCTCCAACTTACAGAGATTCACCTGCCTCTGCCTCCTGAGTGTTGGGATCAAAGGCATGCATCACCAGGCTCAGCTTGCAATGAAAGAAAACAAACCAAAAAAAAAAAAACAACAACAACTACAAAAAAAAACCACGTTATTACAAAAAAGAAAAAAACCCTTGCAAACAAATGAAAATATAACAGACTGAAATTCATCAATTCCAACTTCTGTACAACTTAGTGAATTTGCAGATAGCTAGTACTGGCATTTGAAACGGAAGCTGTGAAGCTTTGAATTAAATTTAACAATGTCAGTATTGGCAATATTTTATGCATTTATCCACCACCCAAATCAAAAAGCCCATGATAGAATTAGAACTAGAAAAGCAATTAGCTTTATATAATTATTCATTACTCTCAAGCACACTCAATATCAATAGTGAAGTGAAATATGTAAGAGAAGAATTAGGGACACAGAGGATGAGGTCTATGTCTGAGTGCAGTGGCTATAGGCACAAGGACTCAGACGGGCAGGACCTTTACCCAAGGAGGGACATGCCACCCAAGGTTTCCAGCACCGTGGAGACCACCAGACTTGCCCTTTGAGAAGCTCACTCTGGCTGTCAGGTAAAAGAAGGCACTTTGAGCTCTAGGAAGCTAGCTCGGTGGTTAAGAGCACTGACTCCAGGTTCAATTCCCAGCACCCATGTGGCAGCTTGCAACTGTCTGTAACTCCAGTGCCAAGGGATCTGACGCCCTCACACAAAACACCAATGCACGCAACATAAATCATTTAAAGAAGAAGCAGCAGGAGGAGAAGCACCGAGGGAGATGGGTAGGAGCAGGCAGCCAGTGCAGAGGCTGCTGCAGAGTCCAGAGACGGGGAGACAGATCTGAGCTGTGTGGGAAGAGGCCAAAGGGTGAGACCAGATAGGCCAAGGCTGATGTCCTTGCTGTTCAGGGTGACACCAGTTCCTCATACAGACCAGAAGTCTCCAGGGTGCTTTCCCCACCTTACCCATCGCCACGTAAGTGCCTGCTACTGTCAGAAAGCTTTCTGAGGCCTGAGGGCTCGGTTGGTAAAGTGCTTGTCCAGCACACGTGAACTCCTGGGTTTGATATGTCACTTCATAAACTAAGCACACCTGTAATTCCAGGACTCGGGAGCTGAAGGCAGAAGAATCAGAAGTTCAAGGTCATTCCTTGGCTACCTAGGGAGCTTGAGGCCAGCCTGTGCTACACGAGACTCTATCTTAAACAAAACCAAAAGAGAAAGAAAGCCCGGTGAGGGCTTCCAGCTGTAGTTGGAGCTCTATTGCACACTGCTTTGTCTGCTCAGTGCTGAGGAAACCATGGGGTGAGAGATGGGCTAGAGCCAAAGGCCTGAATGGCAGGCATGCCTCTTGCATGACCACTATCAAGCGAGCCAACCCCTGGTGCCCAACAGACTCAGACCCAGGCAGCCTGTGCCAGGGTGCGTGGGCTGGAGAAGTCAGCGCAGAAGCTTCCTGCCCCGGGCACTTCAGGTCTGTACCGGCCCTTCATTCCACCTCTGGAGGCTGCTCCTACATCAGAAGCCTCCCTCAAGTCCCCACTGTAGACTCCATAGGCTCTTCCTCTGATTCTTTCAGAGGTGGGAGGCAGAGAGCAGAAGCTCTGATCCTCATGCCAGACACAAACCCTGGGAAATTACTCGCCCCAGGATGAAGTTTCAGAAATCCTGGCAAGGGACCCAAGCCCCAAGGACAGTAAGAATGGCTAGTCAGCCGAGGCTGTGGTGCTGGGGATGGGGGTAGGTGAGGGGGGCTGTGGTGCTGGGGGTGGCTGTAGGTTAGTGGGGGCTGTGGTGCTGGGGACGGGGGTATGTGAGGGGGGACTATGGTGCTGGGGGTGGGAGCAGATAATTGGGGGGCCATGGTGTTGAAGGTGGGGGTAGGTCAGTGGGGACTATGCTGTTTGGGTGGGGGTAGATCATTGGGGGGGCTATGGTACTGGGGGTGCCCCCTTGCCAAAGCTGTGCAGATTCCCACCCCTTTCAGGGCCTCAGTTGCCGCCTCTGTAGAAAGGGTGTCGTGATTCCAAGAGTACTAAAGAAGTCGGTTTTATTCCCAAATATTTCTGCCCGCTACCTATCACTCATTCCAAAGCTCCCCTTCTTTTGCAAGCTCAGCAGCTCTCATCTGTCACTCAGAAGGCAGCTAAGGATCTGGAGCTGGAGAGATGGCTCAGCAGGAAAGAGCACTGGCTGCTCTTGTAGAGGACCTGGGTTTAGTTCCCAGCGCCCCCAGGGCAGCTCACAGTCATCTGCAACTGTGACACCTTCTGACTTCACAGGCCAGCATGTGGTGTGTCCGCATATATGTAGGCAGAACATGTGTATAAATGAAAATAAAGTAAGTAAATGCAAAAATAAGGTAAGCAAATCAAAAAAAAATTACATATTCTAGTAGCCGGAAGTGGTACTTATTATCAACATTTTTTAAGTAAATAAATAAGACAGCTGAGCACCCAGCCCGCTGCCTATCTCTCAAGGAGGATTCTACAGATCTTTCTATAGGAGGCTTTATAAGCAGAGACCTCCAGGCAGCTTCTTTTCCGTGTTGTTCCCCATGCTATTTCCAGATGGTTCCATTTCACTGGGCCCCAAAGACATCAACACAAATGTTCCTTTGCTAACAGGAGGCTGAGCTGTCACTGGTCCAAGCAGGGACACTGCCACTCAGTCATGCCATCCTGTATTTCGTGTGACACCTGTTTTCTCTTCCTGCACAACAGACCTGTTGATTGGCTTGGAGGAAGGGGGTAAGCGGGAAGGGAGGTTGGTGGGTTAGCCATATCAAAGACCACTAAGGATGTCCCTGGCTAGTGGCATGTCTACAAAAATGGTCTTGAGGTTCAACTCCAGCAAACCTCTCAAAGAGGGAACCCCCTCCAGGTCTAAGGAAGGCCCAGAAGATTCAGACAGGTCTCTAGGCCTTAAAATGAGATGGAGACAGACTGATCAGAGGCTGAAGGCCTCTCACATGTAAGGAAAACCAGGCTGTTGGATTTCCTATCAGACTCAGAAGCCAGGAGCTGGTAATAAATCAAGAACAGAAAAGTAATGTTAGTGCTTCCAACGAAATTTCCAAGCCCAGGAAACAATTGAGCATTAAAATCCATCGGAGGGGAAAAAAAATCTATTAAAACTTCAAGAGAAATGCTTTGCTATAAATTAGGTTTCTCTGCCAACTGGGATAATTCAATAATTTCCTCTTGACATTCTCAAGATTGCTCTTCGGGGGGAATTATGATTCGCTGAAGTCGAGAGCGATTTGTTCCCAAAGACAAAGGTGGTGTGTGCTTGTAATCCCAGCACCAGGAGGCTGACAGAAGCTGGGGCTGCAGCTCAGCTGGTACACTCTTCCTCAGCATGCGCAGAACCTTGGGTTTGGTCCCCAGCATACGCCAGGCACATGCCTGACATCCTAACACTCAGGAGCTGGGAGCTAGAGGGTCAGAAGAACACAGCCATTCTCAGCTATCAGTGGTTTGAGGCCAGGCTGAGGGACATGAAACTCTGTGCAAAATAATAACAACGGCAATGATAGATGGACCGACAGACAGACAGAAAGACTCAAGTAGGAGTAGAGGTGACAAATGACAATGCTTCTAACTTAGACTCCCGTGGAAAGATCAGTTCATTGAACTGTGAGACTCCACAATGGTGTGTTGCCTCAGTGAGACACTCGCGAAGGCCACATTTTGACAGCAGAGCAAGTGAGGGGCTCAGACAAGTCCTTGAGGGTCCTCCAGAATCTTTTAACACTTAGAGCAGTCTCTTTCCCACCTCCAAAACCTTTTGGAATCAGATCTAGGCCCAGGTCACAGCATGCTGGAATTCCTTCTTAACTTCAGCGGGTGGGGGCTGTGGACCCCGCCCCCTCAATTTGCTTTTGCTGTGCAAAGCCCCATCCCACAATGCATTCTCCTATCATTAGGGGCCTCCATGCCAGTACTTAGAGACTCTGGTCTCTCTGTACAAGGCCCAACAGAATTATGATGTCTGCCTATTGGCTAGAGTCACCCTGGACAGGTCAGCTAAAGGAGGAGGGAAGGAAGGTATCCAGGAAAGGCGGAGACCTTTGAGAACTGGAGGCAAAGAGCATGGCCATCTGGCACTAACCTCCAAGAGGGGAGGGGAGGGATGTAGAGCCTGGAGGCTGAACCGGGATCTTCCTAGAACAGAGCTCCAAAGACACCCCATGTGTATGGAAAGTCCCAGGACCATGCCCTGCACCCAGAAAGGGGATTTATTAGTGTTCCGAGCCTTTCCCCGATACCGGAAACCCATCCCATACACTCCCTGCTCAACTCCCCTCCGCTCTTCGGTCCTCTTCCTGGTCTTGGGAACTGGCTTCCTCCAGAAATAACTGGGAAGGATACGGTTTGCCCACAAAACTAGGCCAACTGAGAGGCACCAGCCCTCATCATGCTAGGTCACAAGAGTCACTCAGCGCTGTTACCAATACCCTTTCCAGGAAGGATGTTTGGCATTTGAATTCTTTGGTTTTGCAGAGGCCCTGAAAGGTTAAGTGATTTTTGCACAAGGTCATGCTTTTCTGAGAAGTCCTTTGAACCCAGACTGTGGACCAGGTCAGACAAACTCAATCACAGTATAGGGTCCCATCTCGAGATTTCCTCTTTCTTCCCCTCCTCAGATTTTCCCATGAGTCAGAGCCTCCGAGATCTGCAAACACAGGTCACTGAGACCAAGGGAGGCACTGAGGCAGGGCTGTACAGCAGACGCAGGCAGTGTGCGCTCTTTCCGGTTATCCTGTGGGTCTCCAGAAGCTAAGATCACAGGCTCAGCAGAAAGAGGTCAAAGGGGAAGGAAGTGGGAGAGCCTGGGAAAGTTTCCATCCAGGCAGCTGTCAGAGCCAGGCTTCACACACTGCTTGGCTAACACCACACAGGGCACAGGGCCGGGCCCCCCCCCCCCCCGGCCGAGGGGCTATCTCAGCCCTGTCTACTCCCTCACAACTCCCATTGGTGGCTTTGTTTAGTTTGTTGTGTACCGAGACAGGGTAGCTTAGGGTTTTTGGTTTGGTTTGGTTTTAGTTTGGTTTTTGGTTTTTCAAGGCAGGATTTCTCTGTGTAACAGCCCTGACTGTCCTTGAATTTGCTTTGGAGACTAGGTTGGCCTCAAACTCCCAGAGATCCTGCTGCCCCTGCCTGCAGAACGCTGGGATTAAAGGTGTGCACCACCACCTCTTTCTACACCATTGTTTTTTCCTTCTTGACATTTTGGAATTCAGTCTCTCTTGCCTCTCAGTTCACTATGTAGACCAGGCTAGCCTCAAACTCACAGCTATCCACCCACTTCTGCCTACCAAGTGATGGGGTGAAAGGCCTGGACTAGCAGTCTTGTCAACACTGCCTTTCTGTGGCACTACCCTGGTCTTGACCCCCACACCTGTAAGAGACAGCTAATGGTCACAGAGTGGCATGGGCCTCTTGCTAATCAAGGTCTGAGTTCTCAAAAACCAATCAATGGGCAGTACAGAACTGGGCTCCAGGGTGGTTAATGCCTCGCAGGAGATCCAACTTAGCACCCAGGAGTCTTCTTTAGATAGAGGCAGTTACAAGGAAACTCAAGGCTAGGACACTTCTGACACCAAACCAGACTGTCTGAAAATGCTTAACAATGCCACTGGACTTGGGAAATGTGTGTGTGTGTGTGTGTGTGTGTGTAGTTTTGGGTTTGTTTCTGTTTTTCAAGACAGGACTTCTCTGTGTAGGCCTGGCTGATCTGAAACTCACTCTGTAGACCAGGCTGGTCTCGAACTCAGAGATGGGCTTGCCTCTGCCTCCCGGAGTGCTGGAATCAAAGTCATGGGCCACTACATTGGTGGAAAAGGACATATTTTTGTATAGAGTTAGTCTCCAGGCCCAAGGATCTATCTCAAGGTTCCTGGTTTTGCCTTAGGAAGATAACATTGGGATCACCCACTATCATATAGCTGAGTGTGATTTGGGACAGACAAAGTTGAAGAGGGGTTGCTTGCTTGAAAGCTGCAGTCCAGCCACTCAATAGCTTGGCCTCTTTGTGCCTCAGTTTACTGCTCTAGGCAAATGCCAGCCTTAGTAACTTGACACAGAGAAGGGAAAACCCTTGGGACTTGCAGGCTCCTCTGAGAAGCTGGGCGTGGTGGGCCAGTCTTCCCGGAGCGGCGGGAGGGGGGGGGGAAGCGGGAGGAACGGGGACTGGGTGTCCAACCCCCCTCCGCCCCGCCCCCTCCCTCCCCACTCAGAGCTTCCTTACTGCTGGCGGCAGCTGAGTCACCGTGCGGGCTCGCCTGGTATCCTCATCTCTGGACTTCGTAGTCCTGGAAATCCGGAGTCTATCCTCCAGGCTACATCCAACTTGCGCCAGGTGCCTCCAGGAATTCTGGAAATGCTCCTGGGGGCCCACGGGTTTGGGATGTAGAGGAAGCCGAAAACCTCATTCTCGGCTGTCTGGCGAATTCCAGGAAGCCCTTGGGAATCTCCCTGGCACCGCTGGGCACCGAGCCTATCTCTGCGCCTCTTATCTCAGCTTCCCTCGGGGGCTAGAGCTCTCTCTACAGAACCCCCTTGAAATACACCTGCCCCGGAGTGGACGTGTCACTCCAGGTTAGAGAAAGACGCCAGAAGAAAGGATGCTGGAGGCAGACGACTATCCGACTATCCGAGCCTGGATGGCGAGGCGGGCGGCTAGAACTCCCACTGGCCCCGCCTGTCCCCTCCCAGCCCCCAGGACTCCAGGGGAAGTGGTGGGTGGGGGAGGGGAACCAGGCTGACAGATTCTGTAAACAGAGCCGGTTTGGGCAACAGCCAAGGACTGGGTGTCCTGGCCCAGCCTGGGTGTGAGGTCCATCCGCGGCTCTCCAGGACACCCCGCCCTGCCCAGCTGCCCTGGGGTGCCCGACCCACAGCCAGCTCCAGCCAGAATGTGTCTGCGTTTTGGGAAACAGCCAGCTCCCTTCTGGGGAGGTGGGGGGTGGGGGTGTGCAGTGACTGAGCACCGCGGGAGGTGAGGTGGGAGGGGGCTTCTCTCTACGAACCCTCAGTCACCTTTCATTTACATAGTATGGAGTTCAGAAACCTAGGCAGACCTGGTTCCCCGCTCTCCCAAAACGCGGGTGCTGCTGCGTTGTCGCCCCACCCCTGCCCCCACCTCAGTCCCTCGGTCAGAGGCAGAGTCGTAGGTAGAGAAGCTGACCAATGGGTTTCGGGTTCTGAGAGCTCCCTTCAAGAAACGGTCCCGCCCCCATAGGCTCTTGCCAAATGTGGTCTGTGGTGCCCATGACCTCAGAGAGGCAGCTCAGAAGGCAGAGAAAGCCCTGGAAAGGGAGGCTGAGGGAAAAGCAAGCTTTCGGGGTGATTCAAGCTACTGTGTGAGGAGAAGCAGGGGAGGAGGTCCCCGGTGGTTAGTTAAAGATCTCTGTACCCCAGCAAGTGGAGGCTTGCAGAGAACTGTACCTTGTCAAACGAGGAGAGGAGTGTGTGTGTGTCCACCACCCACTACACCCCCACTCCACCCCGGGTGGGAGGAGAGGAAAGGGTGGCCCAGTGCTAGGTGCAGGACTTTACTGTGGGGATAGCTGCCAGGGGATACTACATTAAAGTGTGCTCTGCAAACAGTTCTAAGACCTATAGCTGAGGATGTCCCTCATTTGGTAGGATTCTTACCTCAGGAGAACGGGGTTTCGATCTCAGTACTGCATGAACTGGGCATTGTGACCCAAATCAGCGCTCTCGGCACCGGGGAGGTAGAGTCTGAGGGACAGAAGTTCAAAGTCATCCCTAAGCTACATTTGGCTATGTGAGGAGTTTGAGGCCAGCACCAGCGATTGATTCTGTCTCAGAAAACAAAACTAGTCAGGGACTGGCATGGGAGGCAGAGGCAGACGAATCTCTGTGAGTTCAAGGACATCCTGGACTACGTAGAGGGTTCCAGACCAGCCAGTGAGAGTATCTTAAAACAGTGAGAGTATCTTAAAACAGTGAGAG